GATTAAATAATGCATAACTTAATTCCTGGTAGAAACTAAAAAACTACAAAAATAAAAAAATATTTGGAGCTATTGATGTTGGGGGGGCATCCTTTCTGGGGCTCTTAACGGCTTAAGCTGGTCTCCAAGCTTAAGCTAACCAAGTCAAGCCTAACCTATGCCTAATCTATGCCAAGCCCGGGCTTAAGCCCAAGTTTAAACTAATTTTAGGCTTGCCCTCCGTTAAGCCTAAGCTAAAGCTTGCCCAACCCCAAGCTACTCTTAGACTAAGCCTAAGGTAAGCCAAAACAGCTTAAGCCTAAGATGTCTAAGCTAAGACCAAGCCTAATCCTGGACTTCAAAAAAGATGCCCACACAAGAGCAACAGCTGCGAATATTTTACGGCCTAATCCCTCGATTAGAATATTAAACATCTGCTTTGACTTTAAACTAACTACTAATTAACCTATAATATTACACTATATAAGTCAAGGTTAAGGAGGGCGTTAACTACAGGAGGGCGTTATTTACAGGAGGGCGTTATTTACAAGCGCCGTGACTGAAGAGGGGCGTTAAATACAGGAGGGCGTTAAATACAGGGGGCGTCAAATACAGGGGGCGTTAAATACAGGAGGGCGCGAAAGGGCGTGAAAGGGCGTTAAATACGGGTTGCCGATTTTTCGAAAATAAAGTCAATGAAAACGATTCACGAGGCCGTTTGACGTCAAATGACGATCGTTGTTTTATTCCGTCACACTCCGCTGCGGAATTCCGGTGTTCGGCGTGCTAAATTGTACAAATTTCCGGTTTTAAAAAACTTTTTTCGTGTTTTCTATATTTTTCCACTTATGTTTTCTTTTTTCATCTGGTTATATGTGTAATTTAGATGGTGCGAGAAGAACCCGGCATTACAACCTCCGCTGCCCCACTCGTCCCCAAGCCAGAACATGTCGCGCACGAGAGGCTGGAAACGGATCAAGTGCAGCTTTTCCAACAAGTCATCCGTCCAGAAATGGTAATTATCATTTTTAAATTTAGGATCTTTCGCATTATCAGGGACCACCTTTTTTCCTAAAAGTCCAGAAATGACTAGTAAATTAATAGGAAGTGTTTTTGATAAGTTTTTGGTAAATTTAACTACATAAAATCCGAAAAACCAATCAAAAAAAGTCTTACAACAGGCTTTTTTGATAAATTTTGGCTGAAATCGCCATTTTTGCAGCTTTTTCATCAAAATTAGTGCATTTTTCACGTTTAGGAATAGTAAAAACCGTTTAGAAACACTTCCGCGACCTAATTTAGAACTTTAAACTTAGCTCTTTCGCGTTATCGGGGGATCAACGTTTTTCTTTAAATCCAGAAATACCTATTAGCGTACTAGTAAGTATTTTAATAGTGTTTTTAGTAAAATGTAACTATATTTGAACTAAAACCCATCTAAAAACTTAGAAAATTTCTGAAAACGTCGGAATTTTGGCCAAGACCGGTATTTTTGGTCGAAAAATCGTTATTTTTTTGTATTTTTATTAAGACTTTGTAAAGTTTTTATGTTTAGGAATAATAAAAAAACATTTGAGAAAAACTTCCGGTGTTTATATTTGAAAAATGAGGTCCTTAGAAGAAGTTGGTCCCCCGATAATGCGAAAGAACCCAGTTTTAAATTTATAATATAAAAACTATGGAAATAATCCGCTAATTCCCGATTTTAATGTTAAATATCTAATCTCTAATTCTAGCAGGGCCTGTTCGTCGATCTGGAAGACGGCGTCCCGTGGGCAACTCCAGACGATTACCTCATACCCGGGCCCTTTTCCCAGGTATTTTATCTCTTATAATTTCCATTTCCTTTTTAGGAAGTGAAGAGGGAACCTGAAGAAATTACTGAAGAACAAGCGGCAGAACAGCACCAACAACAAGTTCCAGGCCTCGTGGCTCCACTGATCCCCAAGCGAGAAGTCATCGAGCTCAGCGAGGAGGATACCACCCCCTACATATACGAAGGAAAAGTCGAGAATCCTTGGCTTGCAACCCCGCCGGTAATTTAATTTTATATCTAAAACACGTCGATAGTGCTTTGAAATAACCTGTCACTTCAAATTTCTGCAAATTTTGGAAATTTTGTGAATTTTTAGGCCAAACATGGACGAAATCGACCAAAAAGGGTCAAAATTATCACCTTTCCAAAAATCTCGAAAATTTGCCGTATTTTTTATTATCTGTAGCTGCTAAATTCTAGTAGCTAATTTTGTATCTGACTAAATTACTGTTTTTATTTTCAGGACACTGATGTGGAGGTTGGAACAGGAGAAGAAGAAGAAGAGCCCACCGACAGCCAACCACGGCTTGCGCCCGATTCCCCCGATTCTCTTCCCCTAATATATGCTGAGAAATGGGACAATTCAGAGGCCGATCAGCAAGATGTAATTTCCATTTTGTAACCTTTTTTTATTAACAGATACGATAAATTTTTTTGTTGATTTTCGCGAATCCCGAATTCAAATTGTCGGGGTCTCACCACGATTCCCCTGCCGTGCAAAGGGCATATCCAGTCGTAATGGCATCCCCGAGGGGAATCAGCAGCCTTTGGAAAGAACCCCCCCTTTCAACCTATCAAATTACAAAAAAATGGGGGTATATTATTTTTTGCTTTTAGAATATGACGAGCCCGGTGTTCTCTCCGTTTGTGATGGATGGATTGACGCCAAAGCCAGGCGTTCGAAGGAAGGCCCCAGTGGCTGTCATGCCAAGGAAGCAGCACAAACCGCCGACGATGGGACAGAATGAGGTGTGTATTGCATTTTAAAGGTTTTTAGATTAATTGGAGGGTGGAGATCAAGATATTCAAAATCTGGATGTGGAAAATATCTGTGAATTTAGGCCAAAAAGCTCAATTTTCGCGATTTTTATCCCAAAAGCCTTGGTTATTTTCATTTTCAGCTTAAAATTTGTTAGGTTTTACTGGTTTCAGTTTTTTTCGGTTGATGCGATGGCGGGAAACAAAATATGAACCTCTGGGTGTTAAAAATCATGTAAATTTTTGTAGAAAACTTGAAAACGCCTCATTTTTAAGCCAAAGACATTAGCTCCCGTTACTTTCAGCTGTAAAACTGCCATTGTTTTGGTTCTAGCTTTTTGGGATTTATGGGAGCGCTAAAAAGAAAATATTCGTCTTTTCGGTGCGGAAAATGCATGCAAATTTCTGGTTAAAACCCGAAATTTCGTAATTTTGTCGCCAAAAAATTCAGCTATGACTTTTTAAGTTTTAAAACATTTAAAATTACATTTTTATCGTTGTTTTTTTCAGGAATCGAGCTCCTCCCAGCAGCAGTCCTCCTCCTCCTACGCCCCGGATCAGCGACAAAGAGCAGTGGTGGTGAAGAGATTGGTCGTCGTGTCGGGCACTGCGAAAGATGATCCAACAATACGGCGTCCACGACAGGCCATCGGCACTGGGGCACCGCTCGGCGAGCGAGTACCCATTGTACCGGTAATTTTTTAGTTTAAAAAATACAAAAATCGCTCGAAAATCATGATTTTTGAAAATATTTTGTTACTGGACTCTTTTTCTACATTATTTTGATGTTTTATTTCCAGCATCGTGGTGATCAATCGCTGACAAAGACGCTGAGCTTGATGCCGACATCATCTACCAGAAGGTATTTATAGAATTTGAGTCTTTTTATCCCAGAATTCAGGAAATACTTCAGCGATGAAGATCTCCAGCCTCAATTCGTTGAGCAAGATGTCCATCACGAGGAGCATCACTATCTGAAGGATGATATTGATGTGGTACAGCAAGAAGAAGTGACTTCGGATGATATCTGCGACCCGTCCACTTCTTACATTGATGTCATCGAGGAGTACGTTTTTTAGATTTTTAGGTACGGGGCTATTAGCGGGCGAGGTAATTTTGTCTAGCGTCTTGTAGTGTTTCAATAGTCTTATGCATACAATTTACATATTTTTAAAGGAAATTTTTAATATAGAAAAAATAAAAAATTACAAATTTGAAAAAGTTAGAATTTTCCAAATTTTGAAAGTTATTTTTATGGCTTTTCCGTGTTCTAAGACTACGAAAAACACTATAAAATTTTAGGCTATACAGCTTCTAAACCCCCCCCCCCGCCGCTAACAGTCCAGTACCAATTTTTTGCGTGATTTCTTAAAAGATCAATTAAATTCCTTTTTTTCAGAGGCCACATGGGAATGGAATACGGGCAATTGGCGGGTGGCCACCATCAAGGGATGTCAACGGGCCGACAAAGAATCCAGCAGCCCTCCCAGTTTCGCCAGTTGATGAGCGAGAACCAATATCTCAAGGACCAGCTCGATGTCGCGCTTTATAAGTACGTTTGAAAGTTTAATTCTTCGGAGCTTTTGCGTTATCGGGGGGAGGCTCACAATATCTTACTAAAAAATTCGAGCTTTGGACAAATTTCAAAAATTTAATAATTTTTTTAGAAACAAGCAACTGGAGATGATTCTCGTCGATCGAAGCCTGCGCATCAAGGAGCTGGTCCGCGAGAATCTGCAGACGAACAATAAGTGCCGAATGCTCATCAATCATCTCGGAGAAGAGGCCGTCGAAGGGATTCTGTGAGTTTTATTTCTCTCTTAAACTCTCTCTCTCTCTCTCTCTCTCTCTCTCTCTCTCTCTCGCTTTACGTCAATCGCTTACGCCAGGAAATTATCGATTTTTTTTGCAGGAATCCCAAACGCCCGGACCCGCCCTCGAAGAAGAAGAAGTTGGAAGAACGTAATACCATCGGCGCGCCAAAATAAGCTCAACCATACGCCTTTTTTGTTATTTCTATGTGTAATACAAATATATTTCTTTGTTGCCCTGGGCGTGATTAATGAATAATAAATATTATCATTGTTTTCCGTGTGTTTTTGAATATGAAGTTCTCAGTCTTCAAATATCTTCTCGATCCTTGTTAAAACGTAGTTTGTAGCCGGTTTATAGTTTCTAACGGAAGAATTGCATTTAATGAAAAAGTTTAGATTTTTAAACGACGAAGATGGGTGAGGGCTACGAATATGGTAAGTAAGAAAAAGGTTGAAAAGTATAAAATCGATGCAGATATTATTGTGGACGGGCCCGATTCGAACTACGTGAAACTGGTGAGCAGTGACGGGCACGAGTTCTTCGTCAAGAGGGATAATGCCCTCATTTCTGGCACTATCAAGGCTATGCTCAGGTGGGCTAAAAACCCGAAAAAACTCGATAATTTCTTTCTAAACTTTTTGTGAGCTATGCTGGCTAGCAGGGAGCGTTTAAGAAACGCTCACTATTTTTTTCTGAACGCCAGAAAAGCCAGCAGGGACCATTTGTTGCTAAAACACGAAAATTTTAAGGCTGAAACCCCAGAAAACAGCTAAAATCCGTCATCAAAATCTTCTGAAGCAAACACAATTTAACCTAAAAACCCCAGTAATTTTCAGCGGCCCGGGCACTTTCACGGAAAACGAGGCGAACGAAGTGATTTTCCGCGAGATTCCGTAGGTCTAAAAATGGCTAAAAAGCTAAGCTAAAGCTTAAAGAATAAGCTACAAGCTACAAACTCCCGTCTTTCAGGTCTCACGTTCTCGTGAAAGTGTGCAACTATTTTGCGTACAAGACGCGATACACCAATTCGGCGGCCGAGATCCCCGAATTCAGCATCGAACCCGATGTGGCGTTGGAGCTATTGATGGCCGCGAATTTCTTGGATTGCTGAGAAGGGGGGTTGTGATTATTTTGTTGTTATTTGACGGTGAATATTGTGAATATTAATGGATCCGATTTCCGATAATAGAATTGTTTATAATACGGATCGATCTCTGCTTTATCATTAGTTTATATGATGCTCTTCCCCCTGCATCAGCTGCTACCCCTTCAGTCTTCTCTGCTCTATATTTAGTGCCTATCATTATTGTACGTTTCAAAAATAAACCTTTTTCTACAAAATGGCTGGCTAGCTGGCCTAGCGGCTCAGTACACTGTATAAAGTCGAGAAATTCGGATTATGGCAGCTTAGCAGCAATACTTTAAGAAAACCGTTTTTGCTTAGAGAAAACAAGGCAAAGCGTCCGATTTTCAGGCAATTTAGGGCATTGAACGAAAGGACCCTTATTTTTAGGCCAGGCAGCAGTGATGCTCTAGCAAAATAAGTTAGCTAACAAACTGCACGACAACGAATTGAACGAAAGTCGAAAAATCTGATTTTTAGGACCACGAGCAAAGATTCTTGAGGAAACATCGGCTTTTGATTAATCGAAAATCCCGGTTTTTGACGCAAACCGGCAGAGACACTTTAGGAAAACTATCGTTTCTACCAAACTAGGTAAAAGGCGTACGAGAACGTCCAGAAATTGGATATAGGTCAACTAGCAGCGATTATTTAGGAAATCTCAGCCCTTTGATACTGCGAAAAACTGAATTTTTTATGTAAACTAGCAGTGAATCTCCAGGAGTAGCCTTCCTAAAAAAATGACGTAAAATGCGTATAAACATGGGATCTTAGGTCAACTAGCAGCGCGATTATTTGGGAAAAATAAAGTTTACAAAGCCATGGAACCCCGTATGTTCAGGCAATTTAGCCGAGATCCTTCCAGACTGATCAGCTTTTTGCAACGCCTTTTCGTACTAACTCAATGATCATGCCTGGAAAAGCCAATTTCTAGGCCAACTAGCAGCAATTCTTCAGACAAAAACAGATCTGCTCCATTTCACGTGATTTCCTGTCTAAAAGTGCACTCTGTTGGAAGCTTAGCGTTTATTACATTATGACAATTTGACAACGTGGAAAGCAAAATGAAAAAGAGAGAAGATGAGACGGGGAGGAGGGCAGAAGAAGATGCATATATTAAAAAAGAGAGGGGGAGAAGGAGAAGCACAATACGATGAGAGACACTCGGATCTGAGAGGGGGGAAGAGAAAGAGGAACTGAATTGGGAATGATCGGGTGTTGAAGGGAATGAAGGGAATGAAGAGAAGAGAGAAGCTGGCAAAGCAGCATTTACAACAGTCACAAGACACGGTGTCTTAGAGCGCGCACGGGGGGGTGGGGACGGGCATGGCCTAGTGGTCTAAGGCGGCGGTCGGAGTGACAGGCGCGGGGTCCTGGTTCGATTCCTCCCCTCGCATAAAGACGCGACACCGTTTTGCTTTTTTTGCAAAACGTTTCTGCAATGCACCATCAATAAATCTTTGCGAAGTCCACGTAGAAAATTAGGCAGATGGGACGGTCCCGAGGCCGTAACCAGAAAAACTCTTGATTTTTGCTTCAAAACGTTTCAAGTCTTTATTTTTCCCGGCGATCGCCCAAATTCTTTGACTAAAATGTTCCCTATAGTCTTCTCTATCGATCGCCAGGCGGAACATTTCTAATTGTTTTTCGAAAAAAAGTTATAGCCTTTAGAAAGCTTTTTCCCATACATTTTGGGGACTAAAAGGGGGCGTGGCCTAGCCCTGTCCCTCCCGATCCCCCGTGCGCGCTCCAAGTAAGGCCTAAGACGCCGTGAAGAATCGAGAATAGATAGAGGGGAATGGATAACATGGAACGGGGGCCCGTTTTGAAGGCAGATGGAGAGGGGAGAAACGGGGCAGAAGAGAGAGAGAGAACGTCTTCAGCTCGTGTTGATCATCTTCTTCTAATACCCGGTGCTGGCCAGATACTCGGCCAATTTCTCGACGGCAGCCCGAACCTCGGATCCCTCGGCCGACTCGCCCTTGTAGATGGCTACCAGCACCGCTGAAAAAGCATAATCAGAAGGTCCACAAACTAGAAGAAAGCTGAATTTTCGGATCTTTGGCATTATCGGGGGGGTTGTATAAACCTAGAAATGTCTGATAAATCAAAGCTGAATTTTCGGATCTTTGGTATTATCGGGGGGGGGTTGTATAAACCTAGAAATTTCTGATAACTGAAAGCTGAATTTTCGGATCTTTGGCATTATCGGGGGGCGTTTTTGTAGAAAACTAGAAATGCCTGATAACTTCAAAGGACCGCCTCCATTGGGCGAAAAAACCAAAAAATCAAATTCACAAAAATCATGTGGAAAATCGAAAAACCCCTCCAAATTTTTCTATGGCCTTTCCCAGGCTGGCCCTGTGAAAATAACGCCCGAATTCCCGTTCCGATAAAAAAATCCAGCGAACGAAATAACGCCGAAAAACGTTGAAAAAATCGTATACCTTTAGCAGTCTTGACGGCGAAGAATCCGCTCTTTCCCTGCTTGCCAAAGATGACCTTCTCATCAGCCCTGGGGACGATGTAGTGCACTCCTTCGAGATCGGCTCCCCGGGCCGGCACCTCCATCGGGTTGTTGAAGCCGCTCACCAACGTCTTCAGCTCGGCCTCCGTTGCCTGGAAAGGGGACAAATCCTACTATATATATAAAATTGTGTGTGTGTGTGCACTTTGCATGCAACTTCCGTCAGGTTGTTCCAGCAGTATCTCAAGACGGGAAGTACTTAGGGGCATGTATGGTACGTCATTAGGTGCGTAATGTCCAGGAGATGACTGCACGCTCATCCGATTTAGCAAACGCGTCGATTTTCGACATTAAATTTTAGTTTTTGCTGAAAAACCAAAAGACACTCTTTGTTAGGAATCAATTATCATACACTGGAAGTGGGGGTACCCAATATAAAGGAGCAGAGCGCGCATTTTTCACTGTTCAGTTTGGGTCGCGCGAATTATGCAAAGTGTAAACTTTCATTGGTCCAAAGCGAAGCGGCTTTTCAACCTGGTATAGAATGAAAAGCATAAGAAAAGAAAAACAAGATCTGCGCCAAAAATGTACCTGAAATTGGTTGGCGCCCTCTGACCGAGCCCACACAGCGGCATCGGGGAATCCGACGATGGCCGCTTTCTGGATGTGGGATGAGGCGGCGGTCAAGTTGGTGATGTAGGCAGCCCAGCCGGACATTCTGTCGTGTACTTCCTGGACAATACGCCGAATTAGAAGTATCCGTCTTACAAACGAGAAGCAAAAGAAAAAAAACGGAGCACAACCTCAAAAACGATGAAAGAAAAACATCAACCCTATAAAATTCCAAAAAATCAAAAACTCCTGAAAATTTACAAATCGCCAGAAGACCCGGAGAAACGCGAAATGTGAGGCATCAGGGCTCGGGAAATGCCGCCGAAGACAAAACATCAGCTCCACCCCCGTCAAGTGATTCACATCGCGATCGATTAGAAGAAAAAAGGACTGTGTGGGCTGCCGTAAGATGGAATTAATCTTGGTGACTGTTGAGTCACCGCAAATCAGTCAATAATAAGGGCGAGACACACACACACACACCCATACAGCCCTTTGCTTATCTAAAAGACATTGAAAAAGAGGGGGAAGAGAGAGATGGCCGAAAGAGTAGTCGTTTTGGACAAAATAGACAATGAATAGTATACTATTCAGAGCAGCCACCCCCCAACTACCTGAAATCGGAAAATTAGCGAGATAAGCGGAAAATGGGGGGCAGGGGGACGATGAGGGGGATGGGGTAAACACGTTCGATACAGAGAGTAGAGCATAGAGAATGCACAATCGAATGGAATAGAGGTAGAGGAGGGCTGAATTGACTGACTGACTGACACACTCCCCACAGCGCCACCCACATTCATTTTTTAGTGCGAAAAACATGGAGGATAGGTGGCGGGTAGGTAGCAGCTAGTTTGCTGGAGGAATACAGCGCTAAAAGAGGCGCCAAAAAAATCTGCAACAAGCCGCGAAAAGTTTCGAGAACGTCAAGCGCAGCGCGGGCTTTTGAATGGGACGAAAAATCGCGTAAGTTTGCTGGAAGCAGCAGCAGACTGGAAGTCTAAAAACAGTTGGGAACGCGCTCAAAACTCAACAAAAACCCCCGGAAAATTCTGGCACACAGTGCGCGGCGCGGGCTTTCGATGGCGCGTAAAAAACGCGTGAATCTACTACCAGAGAAGCCCAGAAAACACAGTCGAAACGCGGCAAAAACTTCGTAAAAAACCGCTAGAAAATTATAGAACGGCGTCCGCTGCGCGGGCTTTCGAATGCTCTCAATGCCAGCGCCAAAAATCGAACTAAATTAGAAATTTTCAAGAAAAATAGAAACAAAATACAGCAAAATATCCGGACATGACGGAATCGCAAAAATTAACTCAAAAACCCTTGTTGCAAAGCCGGGCTCAAATTTAGGCGCCAAAAAACCAAGGAACTCGGGCTGCATGAAAGGAGGGGAAGAAGAAGAAGAAGAAGAAGAAGGAGTAGGTACGTGCATGTGCGCGCGGTTGAGGGACAGATCGAGGCGGGGAGTGAGGCCAGCCGGTCTGACCCGCCGGTATAGAAAGGAGAATGAGGTAGAGAAGAAGAGGAAGAGGACACAAGGACACACAGATCGACATACTGACAGACAGATCTGTCTGACGACCTGTTCGCCCCTTCCGTCCTTCCTTCCATTGCATCGATTCGTGGCGACCCCCAGGAGAGTCCGATCGCGCGTCCCGCCCCCCCCCCTCCCCTCGCTACCCCCTCTACCACCCTGGCCCGTCCAAACAACGAATCACCCTTCCCTTCCTTCCCCCTGGTCTACTCTCTATACTGGCTGACGAAGGACCTCGACAGATGGCCCACATGCTCCACAACCACAGCCACTTGGATTAAGCCATTGATTCTGAGCAGAAGAAAGAAGAACGAATGGGGAATTGGGTACTTGGCCATTACCCCCCCTGGCGAGACACCCCCTAACCATGGAATCGATGGTCACATTGTCTGGCCTGTCTACTACGCTAGGGAACGCGATTTGTTTGTCAACTAGAGATGGATTAGCCTACAACCGGGCCTGAAATTGGCATTAGTTTACGAACTGGTGCCTCATGTGCGTAACGTCAGCTACCGGCTCTAACTGCTTAAAACAGGCGAAAATCAGTGTAAATTTGGTTGTAAAATTACAAATTGGTGCCCCATGCGCAAAAGCTAACTGGATCAAATTAAGCTACCTAGAAAATACGGAAACCCCGAAAAAGCATTAAGGACGTACTCAGAAACGTATAAAAATTATAAAACTTGTCAATAAACTGAGAAAGAGCTAGAATATTGACTCAGGAAATCAGGAAATGCTTACAAAGTGATTCCACTTGCGATAAGCTGATCTACTCAACCCAAACGACCTACACTATCCAAAATTCGTCAAAAACGCTATAAAACCAATTTAGAAAACCAGCTTTCAAAGCTACAAATTGTAGCGAATAAATACGACTGGTGTGGGTGAGTTGACTATGGTGATGTGTTCGGAAAATAGAGGGAAGAAAGGGGAAGGGAATTGGAGAAAGGAAAAGAAGAGGGCAATTCGAGAGAGTAGAGTCAGATAGAGGTCCACGAGAGATTGGGATGACCGAGGAGAGACTCGACGGACCCGAGGGGCTACTGGGGGGAGAATTAACCGGTCAGTACTAGTCGGCTGGATGGGTCGCACTCATTTATTCACTCAGTCACTCACTCACTCGATACACGAAAATCAAGGGAATAATTCGGATATCCTGTGACGGTTTTCAGATGTTCTAGAACAATTTTCTTTCCAAATAATCGTTAGGATCGGTAAACTGACCGGCAAGGAAAATGGGGAACAGGTTTTGCGATGGATCTGTTGGTGACTAAGGGTCCTTTGTGGAGGGAAGAGTCGGAAGGACAGATGGATGAGATCGAAGACTCATTTGAGGGGAGCACGAGATCGAGAAAGAAAAAAGAAGGCGAGTCAGACAGAATAGAGATGACTCATCAGCCTCTTTGCCCGCTGGCCATTCCACTGCCCGCAGAGCGTTGCGAAATATCCTCTCGGAATAGCGGATGGGGGATTTCAGAAGCATTTCTCGACAGACAGACAACCCCTTTCCGTCGTGTTATATATTGGGAAATCGGCACGGTGGGCTGTGGAATAATAAGTGAGTCAGATGAGGAGAAGAAGAAATGGGGGGGTTTCTCCAAAAAAGTACTAGTTTTGAGAAATTACGAAAGATACGAACGTGAGAAGGAGGGGAGACATCGCGAGCCCCGAAACGCAAAATCTACTTTTAATTACTTTTCCAGAGACCTACTCTCGATTTAGAACTAACTGATTGGCAAGAAAAATAAAGAACCTTCGGCTAAAAATCCAATTTCAAGGATTGAGTTTTTCGTGCCAAGGCGCCGTCAGTACCGGGAAGGCCCGTTTTTACGCCTCCATTTTACTCAAATTCCACATTTTCTAATATTTTTAACTCTGACGGTCAGGGAAGCTAAATATACGAAAATTCTAGCTTCCAGGATTGAGTCTTCCGTGCATGATATTCTGCGCAAAATTCGATTTGAGCACCAACCTTATGGAAAGTTTATTCTTTAATTAAGTGTTTTAGTAAAGTTTATTATTTTAAGTTTATTCGCTTTCTCGTTAGTTGTATTGCATAAATCACCAAGAAAAAGTAGAGTTAGTGTAAGTAGAGCAGAAAAAGATAACCTGAAGGAGGTCGAGCTCAAGGGAAAGGAGCAAGAGCACGAAAAGGGAATGAGAAGGAGCATATAGTCGAGATATTCGGGGGTTGGTGGATGACTAGAAGGAGGGCGGGAAGGAGGATAACCCGTAGAGATAGGGGATGCAAAGGGGAAATAGGAAAACTACGCGACACAACAGACAACACGATATGTGCTGTCTGTCTGTCTCTCTCTCTCTCACTCAATACCCGATCCAGTGTGGCTAAAAGGCTACCGGAATACATTCATAGCAAAGGGAAGGGGAAGGGGAGTGCGAGAACGGGCCTTGTGCAAATACGGGGGGGAGGGGAATAGGCGCAAAATCGGACGAGGGACCCGGGCCCTAGGGCCACAACGAATTATTCAATAGGTAGAGGGAAGCGAGGGCGGGTGGCCCACCAAAACGGCCAGTTTTAGACAGATTGGCGTACAGATTGGCTAGTTGCGTGGGTTTTAACGGACTTTTTTTACTTCCCGGTCCCTTTAAACCCCAAAAATGACCCATCTGCCCTGCAATTAGTGCAAAAAACCCGAAACGGAATGCATAAAATGTCAATTGGAGAGGAAATTTTTAAGCAAAGGCCACAGAAAGGATATCACAAATATAGATATGCAATTCAATTCGATAAATAAATAAATACAAACAGAAAATGAAAATGGCTTATTTGGAGGCGGAGGACGAGCTGGAGACGTTGATATGGGTCTCGTTCTTCTTCCCGAGTATCTTCAGCAGATTGGCCGACATGAAGAAGGGTTTCTCGGGGCTGCCGTCATTCTGTTCGCCGTCTTCCACTGAAAATAGAGAAAGTGAAACTCCATCCTCAATTTTTAACTCGATTCAATCTTTTGCCACTCAAATCTCGTGCCGATCGATCAGAAAAGCGAAAACTCAAGCTCAATCCTCAATTGTTCAGAGCTACAGCTTTTTCTGGTGCTCAATCATCAAATTGTCAACCAACATGGCCAAAAATGGCAAAAGCGCCCGGCCCAAAAATCGACAGTCGAAATTAAGTGGGCGTCATGCCGCCAGGGTGAATCAGTTTCCCTGCCGCCACCGCCACCCAGCCTTTTTTGCAAAATAAATTTGACGGTCGGGGGCGACGTTTTGAAGAAGCCGGGTTTTTGTAGAATAATGGTCTGTCTACCCTTTGGCGGGCAGAAAATATTACGTTCCAAATTCCTAAGCCAAACCATGTAAAAACAACTTACAAAAGCAAATGAAGGTTGTATCGACAGCCATCTCGTAGACATCAAAGAACATATCGGCAATGAAATAGGAGCCGATGAGGACAATGATGATTGGAAGGAAATAATAGTACAGATCCACACGGGGAATCCCATCTATCGTCCATTTGCCTGTGAACCAGAAATACGCCACCACACCTGGAAATCGACGAGTTAGCTAGTAACCTGGAAAAACATAAATTTTACTGTCAACTACATCCTAT